ACCATGCACTTCAAAATGGCAGATGTCAGCAAAATATCCTGTTGGAAAAAAAAAATAAAAAATGAAGCTGACAATATTTTAACATATATTTGATTTCAGAAGCCAGTAGCCCTGCTGGTATTCAAGACAATGAAAAAGGACACACACACACTCGCCCACTTCCCAATATATATACAGAGATAATTTGTCATCATGTAATAGATATAAAGAATCTAGAACAGACTTCTGTGTGACTGGCTGTATTTTCCCTGTACTGGTCAGCACGAAAACAGGACTGTACTCAAACATTATTCTTCCCTTGTGATCAGTGGCTTACTGCTTAAAGAAAACTGAAAGATACCCTCATTTAAATGTACATGCTTATTAAAAAATTGAAGCAGTGTTTTTGAACTCACATATTCACTCTAGTATTTATGTAATACACTCATTGTAAGTGAACCTGCAAGAATGTATTTACTTATTCATTTATTGAGGAATTAGGTCCTGAGGGTAAGAATGCTGTAGGCTATTAAACCCCAGTGACTTTACAGGTCTCAGCAAGCAAAAGGTATGCCAAACTTGCTACATTTCAATCCTTGCAGATGTAAACTGCTTCACACCCAACATGATGAAGTGTACTCGGTGATTTTACAAATAGAGGATTCTAAAACTGTAGGGCCTGAAGCAGCTGCTTAACTTAAAAATTTCTGTTTTGTCCAGATGTGAAAAATAAATGAGGAAAATCATGAAGCCAATATTAGCTTTTCTCTGCCTGGTTCATAAAATCCCATATATTTTTATACAAACTTTGTCTGATCAATATCCTAGCGAAAGCAAGGATATATAGTAATTCAAGGACTATATTCATTCAGGCATGCAGTGAATAGCAAGCTTTTTGATCAGTTAGGGCTAACTAGCAATTTATAACTTCAGCTGATATGCGATGTTTTATACTTAGATGCTCTAAAATTTATTTCATTAACTGGACAAAATTGATGCTCCATCATTTGGTCCATACACTATGAACTACAAAATGTGCTTCAACATTTGTGACAGAGATTATTTTATTAATTTGAACAATAAGCTCACAATTATTTATTGCTATTGTTCTCTTCTCTCTGTTTTCCTGGCATTTAACTAAAAGACATATTAGAATAAATCACAAGTTCAAAGAGTTTAATGGCATGAATTACTCTTGTAATATTGAACAGAGCCATATCTCATGATAGTATGCCTTTGGCAAAGCAGCATTTGTTTACAGAAGGGCAAATGTTTCATGAGCTCTTCTTGATGTGTGTCAGTGACAGAATACAAAACAAAACAACAACAACAAAAAAAACACGTAGGGATTCACTACTCTCAACTATAATTTAACTGGATCCCAATGGCTGATAGGCCAAAATGTGGGAAACCCTGACCCACACATCAGGTAGAGCTCAACCAACATTGCAGAAATAAAATATGCATTCATACTACCATTATTCCTCTGGGTTATTGTCTTTGAGGGTAACATAATTTTAGTCCAGCTTTGCCCACTACTCTTGACCTGCAATAAAATCTATTTTAACTGTTATTATGTTAATTAGAAGATGATGTTAGAAATAACAGGGAAATGAGCAACTGATTTAGCAAATCCACAACAAGATCAACAGTGTTTTACTTATACTACTCCTCACACTTCCAGTGATACTATTTAAGTGCCACTCAGAAAAGTACACCAGACACAGATCTTTATGAAAAGTCCAAATTTGGATATTCCATATTTTTGAGACATTTGGATTTAGATCTCTAGCTTTCTTCTGACTTAAGTCTAAAAATAATGCAACAAAACTCTGTTTGAAAATGTATATTTTGTGTATATATATATATATATATAACATATGTATATATGTATTAAATGTATATTTAAAATGCCATATTATTTACAACTTTTGCTCTTCCAAAATCTAAAGTGATTCTTGAGCTCATGAAAGAAGAAATTAAGATAATTTATGTATCTACTGAAAAAAAAAAAAAAAGTCAAGCCTTGGTATGTTTAAACTACAGTTGTATTTCTTAAAGCATCATGGAAAAGATGAAAGTTCACCTAACCACCATATTTGTCACTGTGGATTGCAAATCAACTTTATTGAGGGTGAGATATTACTGAAAATATATCATTTGCATTTGGCAGCATTTTGGAAACTATTTAAAAATCAGTGTATGCCTCTCTGATATGACATTTGGATATACTAACCAGTTCCTGAAACCATACAAAGGACACGGTACAAAAGACATGCCTAAAATGATTTCCAGCAATCCTAAGAGCCTTTCTTCACTTAGAAGCTGAATTTGTGTTAATATTACCCCAACATTTTCTCTATGTTCTCTATTGCTTTATCTTGCACTTACTGCATGTACTTTAACCTAAATTCCTCCCAAGATAAACAAACTAGTTTACAGAAGAACATTCTTGCAGAATGTGATATAATTTGGAGGGAGATCATTATTTATACAGTAACTGAACATTATATAAAAAAGTTTACAATGTACATGCAATATATGACCCCTAATTTTTGGACCTATGGATTGTAATACTGGAAAGGAAAAACAAAACAAAAATCAAAGAATGCTTTTTTCTGAAAATATTATGGTGCTGCTTATCTGCCAATGAGTAGTTTAAGACAAACAATTTTTTTATTCTAAGGTTTCTCTTCCTTTAAAGCTACAGATTTAAAATTAACACTACAGTTTTAAAAATCTCAAATTGTAATACTATTAATTGTTAAATAAAAAAAAAAAACTTTTAAAATTTCCATGAAATTCTTGTATTTATCCTTATTTCCTTATTTGCACTTTATAAATGTTATGTAGAGAAAATCTCCAAAGACATCCCTGGAATTGTCTTTAGCATTATATTTCCCTAATTCAATCAAAAAGATATTAAAAAAAAAAAAGTGAAAATAATTAAATATAATATGAAGTAATCTAACACTAAAATAGGTTCAGTAACTATGCTATCCTACTTAGGGAAAGAAAATCTTCTATAAAAATCTGTTAAATGACAAATTTTATACCTATATAAAAGACAGAATAAAGCCACTCCATGATAAAACCAAAACTAGAAATTAAACCTGACCCTTGTATACCAGCTTGTAAACAGTAGCTGTACAAGAACAAACCACTGGAAGAACTTGTAGCAAATTTTCTTGTTTGTTTGCTTGTTCCTTATACAAAACAAGTGATTTGAGAAACCCAGCATAGTGTAGACAGTAGCACTGTAGAGACAGGCAAGAGGAAAATAGGTTTGTTCTTGTCTACCTTTTATACCTAACTAAGCATAGACTTCCCTTGGACTTCTTGGAAAATGTTAATTATGTGTTTGTGACATGGCTCTATTTAAAAGTTAATATTCATTCTGAAGTTCTGTTCAAATGTGGATAATTTACATATTACTGTTACTTAGAAACTCTTGGGTGTGTTACAGAGGACTGTCTTCTATGACTACTACACTATATGCCATGTGTTTACATGACATACCATATATTTACATGATAAATACAAGAAAGGTCTGTTCACAGATCTGGGATTTGGTTTAAATACCCCTTTGAAGGAAAAAAAATAGTAAAGGGAGAAGCCAAAATACTTCTTGCTACAGTTATAAACATAGTTAGCAGATCGAAAAATATTTTACTGATAAATGCCTGAAAACTTAAAAAAATGAGCAGTTGTCTTTTTTTTTCTTTTTCTTTTCTTTTCTTTTCTTTTCTTTTCTTTTCTTTTCTTTTCTTTTCTTTTCTTTTCTTTTCTTTTCTTTTCTTTTCTTTTCTTTTCTTTTCTTTTCTTTTCTTTTCTTTTCTCTTCTTTTCTCTTCTTTTCTTTTCTTTTTTCCTTTTTTTTCATTGTATATATTGTTGATGAGAAGATAAATGTGCTTTTTGGGGCTGCAATGGAATTCAGTATTCAATTTAATATTGAATTATTCACATAAGAATCTTTTACAGGATTAAATTATTTTAAAAGCAATCAGTTGTGAAAAGTCCAACAGTAGTATGGACTGCTTATAACACTATCAGCACTTCATTATAGAATTGATGCCTGTAATGATTGATAACATTCATCTTTTTCAAACAAACAACATAGTAATAAATTCTATTAGTCATGTATTAAACCTGTTATAATAAGAATTTTATTTGTGGCATAACCAAATCAAACTTATGATTTTCACCTCAAATAATATGTTTCAAATTCTGGATTTCTCTCTCTCTTTTTTTTTTTTTTTTTTTTCCTTTTATCATAGGAAGTTATCATTGAGACTTGATGTGTAAGACATCTAAATCCCCATGTTCTTCATGTGCCAATATTTCAACATAATTAATGTAGTTCTGAATGTTTTTATTCTGATAAGATGCTTAAAATATAAAGCTATGTTTTGAGAAACAATATAGGCAATTGCTTTCATAGATTTCTAAAAAAAAAAAAAAACAAAAACAAAAAAACAGAAAATTCTATTGCTCAAAATAAATAGTTGAAATATTTAGTATTCTGTTTTCCCATTGTAAATCTGTTTTCCCACAAATTTTACAATTTACAAATTCCCACAGTATCTCTTCTGTTTTACAAGGAAATACTCTGTAGCTACTAGACATTTTTTTTTTTTTTTTTTTTTTTTTTTTTTTTTTTGCTAGTAGGCAATGATATGATGCTGGAAATGATTTTGTAAAGAATGCTTTGAAGTGGAAGGGGTTTGGATGCGTTCTTGGTATATTGTTCCACTGGATAACATTGTGGTTTTTTTTTTTAAAAAAAAAAAAAAAAAAAAAAAAACAGTCAAGAAACAAAAGCAAAACAAAAGAGAAAACTTCCCTGGGACTGAAATACTTTGTATGTGTTGTTATTTGCAGTGCATGCCAAGACATTCATGGGCACCAGAGCCAACCTGGCGAGCTAATTAAATATATAAATGTATATGTTTAAAACAGCCTTATAAGGAGCATTGGAAATCTGCAAGATGAGCGAATATCTTATAACTTCTTCCGCAGGTGCGAGGATAGCTACAAGCCATGGACTTTCTGTCCTGCTTCTTGTTTGTGGCTTTGTGAAGGGTGCTTTGCTTTAATCTAAAAGTGCTGACTTTTTCCAATATCACTTTCTCTTCTTAAAGCAAAGAGCAAATCGCCTGTAAAATCCACGGAGCGGACAGCAAAGTTGACCCTAACCTCCAACCACCACTCTGCACCCAATGTACTCTAAATCTCTACACAAGGAGCACCTTCTTCAGGAAGTACAAACAAAAATACTAAATAAATAAATAAGTAAATAAATATTATAAAAAGAAGAGGATACCACATGTTTTCTTGATATATCTTATTTTCTTTGGCGTATCACTGATCTTTTATTTGAAGAGAACTGGTGTGATGTAATCAAATGTTTTGTAACAGCAAGACCTAGTTTCTTTTTCTTTCGGCAAGGAGAAGCCTCATCCTTGACTTCTCAGGGGTTGGTCTGCGAGTCATCGGTATTTTAGAATTAACCATGGATGATATTTGGTTTCACAAAGAACTGTTCCAGCCTAGAAGCAAACAGAGGCCAATTATTGAGACAAAACATAATGATTCAACATTGACCCAATAAAAAAAAAAGCTCACAAACTTTGCCAAAAAAGCAAAACATTTTTTTGTTTGTTTGTTTTGTTTTTGTTTGTTGGTTTGATTGCTTGCTTGTTTTTTGTTGTTGTTGCTTGGTTTGGTTGGTTTGGATAGGTTTTGTTTTTTTCCTGCATGAGGAATAGAGAGGAGAAAAGATATTCTACAAAGCAGTTAAGCAGACTAGAGGACATTGTTTTTGTAAAATAAATTAGATTTATTCTTTTTATTTGGTTTGTTTTTTTGTTATTCTCTTCCCCCACCCCCCTTTTTTATTTTTTTCTACTGTTTTGTTGTTGTTGTTTGTGGTGGTGGTGGGTTTTTTTTTTGATTCCTTTCTTGTTCAATGGTGGCAATTGCAGATTTAGGCCAACCCCTGATGACTGCGTGGAGGTTTATATATATACATCTTTTTTTGTGTGTGTGTGTTCTATATTTCAGTGTGTTTTCTCTAATTTTGCAACTCCTGTATATGCAAAACTAACTTAAATTCTGTAAATTGCTTACAGTCTCTGTGATATAACTTCCAAGTAGACATACTTTGGTCCCCATGCAAGCCAGTTTTTAATATTATCTATATGTTGTGCCACCAGTAAACATTTTTCTTTTCTTTTCTTTTCTTTTCTTTTCTTTTCTTTTCTTTTCTTTTCTTTTCTTTTCTTTTCTTTTCTTTTCTTTTCTTTTCTTTTCTTTTCTTTTCTTTTCTTTTCTTTTCTTTTCTTTTCTTTTCTTTTCTTTCTCTTCTCTTCTCTTCTCTTCTCTTCTCTTCTCTTCTCTTCTCTTCTCTTCTCTTCTCTTCTCTTCTCTTCTCTTCTCTTCTCTTCTCTTCTCTTCTCTTCTCTTCTCTTCTTACAGATCATTAATTTTTAGTTTGTAATTCAGTACTGTGTGGATTTTGTAAATCATACCTTCATTTCCACTGGTTTGACCCCTTTCAGCCCTCTGTTTACTCTGTAAATGCACATTAAAATTTGTTATGGTCTCTAGACAATGAATTACTTTAGTTTTGTGTATGTTGTATTGGAGTTCAGTTGCTGAAAGCTCTTTTAATTTGTGATGTTTATAGAGTATGAAGTGATTTGATCGCTAGAGACTGTAAAATGCAGGTTTACAGTCAGATTCTGCATGTAAAGTAAAGTTAGAAAAGGAAAACAGACAAATAAAACAAGATGGCTTAAAGGATATTCATTCAGCAAAGACTGTTAGGAAAGTGTATTTATTAAACCAACAAACTGACAAACTCCTTCTACATAGCCAAAGAAAAATCTTTTTTTTTTTCTTTTTTTTTTTTTTCTGGAACTGTATTGTCATTGCTCATTGATATTCTTAATTAAAATACTTTATGTCTGAGAACTGAACATGAAAATTTTGCTGTTGACTATAGCAATATGCATTACATGAAGTACATTCATTAATGCAGGAAAGAAAATTTGCTTCCATTTGCAGCTGCAATCAAGAAGGATTTTTTTCTTGTTCCCATCCTTCCACTGGTGCTGAACAATCCAAGCCCTTTCATCTATTAGCATAGACAATTATGTACATCACATGCTTATTATGATCTATTTACAACAGCATAAAGTAGCTGCTGTGTGGTCAGCTGAGAGATTTCTCCACTTTTTGAAGTAATACAAAGAAGTAAAAATTATATTTAATATCTCACCTATCCATGGCTTATAGTCCTTATATTTTATTTCAAAATGTCCAGAAGAGCCCATTCTCGCATTCCCTTAAGTCTTCCCTCATTATTTTCATAGTAGAAAAAAAAAAATAAATATGATACAGAATCAAAGATTAACACTAATGTTTTGTAAGAGGCTAACTAACGTATTAGTGCAGATGTAATTCCCCTTAATCATAAGCTTGACTGGGGATGGTCAGTCTTTGGTTTTAGAAAAGTCTTAGCATTTATAAAGAGAATAAAATATGGTTGAATACAGATAAATGAGGAATAATTATCAGGCGAAAAAAAGGAGAACATTCTTTTATTTCAACACAAAGTTAGTGACTCATTAGAGATATTGCATATTGAAAATGTCGCTGAAGTAAGAATAGTTTATCATCCTACTGATAAACTATTTTTTGTTTAAAGTAGAATTTGTCCCCATTCAAGTATTTTGAATTAAACACAGTATTTTGGATTGAAGAGAAAGTAAAAGAAAAAAGAGTCAAAGTTCTTTGAAACTCATTTTCAGAATGTACTGTGCAAACAAAATTTCAGAACTCTGGAGGAAACGCCCCATTTTCCCTGTGCAATAGTCATCTATGAATGCATGTTGTGAGAATCTCCCATTTGTCATTTGGAAACGTATGTTTCCACTGATCTCAATAGGAGCCAAATGCTTAACATCATGCATATTTCATATGTTTATATGTAACTTGTATATTGAATATTCTGGTATGCATGTAGTCAAGTAGACAACCATCAATGACAAACACAGCATTACATACAAAATTTTTCAGAAGTATTTTAGCCACATATTATTAAAGTTATATTCTGATTATTATGTTAACCTAATATGTGTTTTTTTTTTGTTTTGTTTTGTTTTTTTTATGCTATTATCTACTTAGGTGTAAATCACCATGTATTAGGAAATGAGATGAAAGAACCAACTGAAACTAAAAGCAGGATTCTAGACTACCGAGAATAATGTGATGTAACAACTTAGATGTTACCAAGGGAAGTGCCATATTGTGATCTGCTTTTCATGGTGTCAGAGAGAAAAAAAAAAAAAAAAAAAAAAAAGATAAAGACAAGGGTGATAGACAATCAATGTCACGTTTGAAAAAACTTTGAATTTTGCATGAGATACTAAGGGATTATTATACTAGTTCTCCTCCTTCTTTTCCTCTTCCTTTCCTCCCCTCCTAAGATAATAAACCCAAACTCTTCAGATGAGGCAGGTCCAACCTTTCTGATTACAGATCTAGATGTTAGGTTTATAGCTTCTACCAATCTGTGTGGATGTTGCAACATCTTCTAAAAGGAGCAATTATGTTGTTTCAAAATTTTATGATGTTACTTAAGAGCTGCTTAGAAATCAGCTTCTAGCTCCAAGGAATCCTCAAAGGGAAGTTAAGACAAAAGCCCCTCTCCTACAAATTTAGATGCAAATAATATTTGATATAGTAATGGAACTGCAGTTGTTTTCTGCCCCCTGTCTCCAGTTCCATCATCTAGGCTTAACATTAATAGAAAAAAGTAAAATTTATTATTATTATTATCATTACCTGGCTTATTTATTATTATTATTATTATTATTATTATTATTATTATTATTATTATTATTATTATTATTATTATTATTATTATTTATTATTATTAACTGGCTCATGCTTCTCGCTTCTCACTATAACAATATTCTACTATTCCAGCTACCTTTTCTGTCACTAGCAAAAAAAATCTTGGAGTTAGAATTGATGATCCTTATGGGTCCCTTCTAACTCAGGATATTCTATGACTTTATGAAATCTACAGTACTTCTGCAATACTAACAAAGATTGTTACTGCTACAGAACCTGTTGCATAATTTCTCCTCTGGTTCAATGGTTACCAATATTCTTTTAACCTCTGGAACTTCATGTGTGCGAATTGTTGCATAATGTGTTTGACATTGTCTTTCTTAGTTATCTTTTGTAGATTCTTCAACGAAATTTATGGAACAGGAGGGTTGCTCAGCCCATAGATTACAAAAAAAAAAAAGCTTGGCAGATTGATTTAGGACTGACTGTTTCTTCCTCAGAACTTGTGTTGAGAACAGTACTAGAAAACTTGAATGATAACCACCAAATCTTATCAATTATTATTATTTATTTAATTCTCAGAGTTGAATATTTATATTAGAGCAGTGGCCACTGGGGGAGTGGGGGGGATGAGGGGGATATTAGTGCTAACCTAATATTTTTTCAGTGTTAAGCTTTTATCTGCTTAATAATAAGTAATCTCTACAGTGATGTCATCCTTTAATTCACAATTAAAAGCAAACAAACAAAGCTACGGACTCCACTGCTGCCACTCCTCAAAGTCTTTGTTGGGGTGGGAAGAGGGAGTGGGGGTGGAGAGAGAAAGAGAGAGAGAGACAATAATTCAAACCTTTGTTATCTGCCATATGGGGAAACATTTGCCCCTGACATTACTATTAGTAAATGTCAAAAGTTGTTTACAAAGCTAAAAGCATTAAGGACCAAGAATGGGATCAACATATTTTGTGATATAAATTTTTAAAGGTTAATCTTCTGTGATTAGCTTAACTCAACAATGCTAAGCACAAAGTAAATTGCTTAATGCGTGTTATCATAAATGGCTTCACTCTTTCATTCTAAGCTTCCTAATATTGATTTATTTGATTTCACAGTCATAAACTTTGCACATACTTCATATAGATGAAATATTATATATTGTCCTGTTTTTCATCTAAACAACAGAGGGAGATTGAAGCAAAGAAGAAAGCTAAGTTTGTCTGTAATAATGAATACAAACAATTCATGGAGATATTTGCAAAGATATAGAAAAAGTATACTTTCTCAAGAGTCAAGTGTAATTGAAATCTTATTTCATTTTCTCCTATTTTGTGCTTTTCATGCCAACACCAGTCTAAAGACTACAAGAATAATGTAATTCTTACTACTCAATTCCTACAAGGTGAAAGAAGACAAAATAATGTCTTATTTGTTATGAAAGCGGGAAAAGAAATAAAGAAAGAATATTTTCATTTGACAAGCTAAATGTTTACAGTGTTCTATCAACTCAAACTCTCTTTGCTGTTAATTTTATGGGGAAGGAGCAACAGAGAAGTTGGTCTGTGTTGGCAGCTGATTGTCATCCTACAGTCTTCTATACACTTCACAGATATAATAATTTTCCCTGTAACTAAAAGTGACAGATTTGTTTGAGTTTGGAAATTATAAATACTTGCAGCTCAGTATATTTTTCCACACTATTATAAAAGTCACAAGAAATGGCAACAAATAAAGCTATAAACAAGTCTGGAAGAATATCATGAACCAAA